CGATCATGAACTAAATTAACAATCATCCCACCGCAACACTCATTAAGACCTGCTTTTTCTGATACTTTAATGTTCCTACACATTAAGACTAGGTAACTAACTCGTAGATCAGATTCCACTCGTGACCGCATTATAGTAATAAACCAACCACAAAAATTCTGCTAAAGCCAAGACCAAGTCTAACCGGATTATAAACTTCAACTCATTTGATGCTGAAAAGATTACAAACAACGCAGAAACCATAAGTATATATCGATTTCCAGCGATCTCTAGGAACCTTCTTATATATGAGAACAATGTGGAAGTCTGTTTATAGACTATTATACTGCCGAACGAATTAAAATTGGTATGACTAATTTCACTAAGACAACTACTGTGAGTACAACGATAAAGAGAGTATGCTTAACTATAACACTTTTCCTATAGCAAAATTAATAAGAATGCTAGTCCCCAAGTGAATGTTACTTTGCTAGCAGCTATTTAATTACTATTGTTGCAGCACATTCATGCCATTAAGCAGAAAAACCAAGCTAAATCCTACTTGTGAAAGTGTCATTAACTCCGACAGAGTTGGCTGCTATAAAAATAGGAATAGCCAATCTAAGACAGACGAACAGTGTCATGATTACATACCGCGATTGACAGAAAATCCGGCATGATCTGAATTTTAACTGCGTCTACTACTTTGAAATTACTACTGTAGCTAAGGAATAAGGAGAATTTTTAATCTGCCCGTCTGGATTAGATCTGCTGGACCTTGACCCCCAGAACCAATAGCTAAAAGGCCCTATTATAAGTAAATATGCATCTGTCATTACTAAGCACATTCGTTAGAAATAAGAAGAGATATAAGACCACAGCATGTGTGAGGATGTAACATAAATGGCCTTTCGATCTGCTAGGATAATGAGGCAGAGCAACAACTTAACTTTATAGTAATGAATATATCTGAAGAAGAGAAAAACTAGAAAGACAGATCAGTCAATAGCAGATAAAGACCAACTAGGTGCAAAAATATGACCAATTAAGCCAATTATGCAACTGATTTGTGTGGATATAAGCACATCATATAGACCAGAAACAAGAAGTTATTAACATCCAAAGAAGACAGATATCAGCGACGAATTCCTGTTTTTCATTTATCTGAGCAGACAGACGTATAATTTTCGTTTACTATAATTCATTGTTTGTCAGTGTTTGTATTTTTACCTATATTGATATGTCGTTACTGGATCATGGAAGCGCTATCGTGTATACTCACTATCGAAAGCATTAGAGAAATGGATTCCTCCATAGCGATGGATCAGAGAGAGCAGTATCACAAAATTTTACCATCACTACGCTCTTATTAGAAATGAGTATTCGTCATGTATCACCAAAACTTTATCACCAACAATCGAGACAAAATTGTAGATTTTCATGTGAAACCGGGGTAATATGACAGGAGATGTATCGTGAATCTAAAAGGAGCAAATTCAGAATGTTTCTTAATCATTGAAAAACTGTGTAGGTTATAATATAATTTAATAGATCAACGAGCAAGCTACAAAGCGATTAGTGGCCTAGTATGTATAGATTACTAGATTTTGCAGTTCACAGTCAGGTCTTTTAAGAGCACCTTAAAATTATGTGAGTCAGTACAATATTTTATACACCAAAGTTACATTGTGTTCTAAAGTAACAGAAATTTGGTAACTTTTCAAAAAGAGGTACACATGTTTGACAAAGATTAAGAAGAAAAGTCAAATGTTGGATTAATGGAGAGCATCAGTCAGATAGAGTGATACTGAGAACGATGTAAGGTGAAGAAGAAATTTAGAACTATAAAAAAGCCAAATTGATAGCATAAAAGAACTTATATTACATTCGGGAGTTCTGTACGGACCCAGAATCAAGTGAAACCAAAAACAATAGCCTTAGGTTTTGGACAATATACCGTTCCTGCCGCATCTACAATTCACAATTTAGTGTGGTAGCTTACTTAACCTATCTTTCAAGCCGAGATGCAATCAAACGAAAAAATCGTTTTATACAACTTTGAGAGGAACTCATTCGAGTGTCCTATGAGACTATTGCCCCTCAAGATACCACAACATTGTGAGAAGATGCACACATGCTATTATTTGTGTTTAGAAGAAACTAAAAACCCAACCTTATACTACAGTCAACAATTCGCACAAGCATTTTATCTCATTAACTAGTCCTCTATATGAAGAAGCTACCTAAACTTATGCACATCGTCTTAACGCGCTTTCACTAGACAAAGAGCCTTAAGAAACACTACGCATATCTGTGCAAAGGACTAATCTTCAAGCAACAGATTCTAGCCGTATATGAGTATGACCTCAAACCCTTTGGTAATATTACCAAAAAAATACCGGGAAAACTCAGAATAGTTCTCGTGATACATTGGTTGCGTTTACTTTTGTACATATTGCCGCCAATAAAACCAACGTGAGTGAAATAAGTAAAGGACTAACCATATCTATTCTGTCTTTGTTTTGCAAAATTCAAAGTTTTAATGTGGGCAGTCTAGTATTCTGATTATTAAATGAGTTTCCGCAACATGTTACCAGACAGGAAAAACCTCTTTGCCACTTGTAAGAAAGTTTGACGCAAAAAGGACTCACAAACGCTACAAAAAGTTTCAAGCAAAATATAAGAACCGCCGTCCCCATGCTCTTCGTGCAAAGAGTTAAAAAAAACTGATATAAAAGGAAATTATGTGATTTTCAGGTTGGATATGGTTCACCCAACACCAGATTTTTCAAAAGACTAAGAAGAGAAAGGAAATTCAGAAAGTTTGGTCTCTAAGAAGAAGTCATAAGAAAGATAATGCCGATTATGAATAACACATAAACTGCTGCATAAAAAAACATAATCTATTAACTGCATACATGTCATTTTTAAAAAGAATACCTTATTTTTGCTTTACCTTTTAGAGAGTTATCACATGTACGCTATCATGGTCTCATGATGAACATCAGAACATCCTGTAATATTAGATTTTCTCTCTAGTATATCATTTTCTTCATTTCTAAATACCTGTAACATTTAAAACAAACTTTAACTGCGATTTTCTCAAATTTTAAATTTACGGAGTGTTGTTGAGTTGTGGCTACTGTAATTTCTCCCTAGATTAACATATACTGACCAAATTTTGAGGTCCTGTACAGTTTTAAATGCTCTATGCAATGAGTGATTGAAAATTTGCATTTGAGGCAAAAAAATTTTTTTTTGATCAGAATGAATGTTTTTTGGCAATTTTTATTTTCAATTGTGCAAAATGAAAAGTTTAATCACTCATTGCAGAGAACTATCTTTGTTATATACTCTGTGCAAAAACTGGAATGATTGGTCAATTACTTTTTCCAAACTATTTGCCAAAAGAACTCTAGTCGTCGCCATGTTTAAAGGGTTTCCATAGAAACTAAAAGACCACACCCAATTTTCAATTAATATTTTTATGTGTAAACTATTATTCATTGCTTGTATAAAGTTTCAAGCTAGTATCCCTTGTTGTTATAATCTTTTTGGACATTTTCCAAAATTGTTTCATCAATGTATACATCCACCTTAAAGAATCTGGATACCCGCTCCAAAACAACTCAAAATATCTCCGATAATTACTTGGATTTCCATCTCGTTTATTGTGCGAATATGCATTGTAGCCTGTTAGGTTTTCAGATGCTGTTAATTCTAATCACAGTGGCAAGTAGAGACCACTCCATTACATCACCTCGAAAAAAGCATCCTTACGTCAAGATTTTGTCCATAGTAAACACAGAGATTTTCATGTTTGGGCGCGTCGCTATTTTGAAGTCTTTCATCAGAGTTCTGTGGACCTTGTGGTTGTATTTAATACATATAATACATTTGGAGTTCCGCACTAAACCCTTTTTCAAACGAGAAATTTACTCAAATTGCATTTTTAAACAGGAAATTTACTCAAATTACTTCACATCAATATGCAGAAAAAAAATTCAGGAACACTAAACTCATTTTCAAACCAAAAAAGATTTCATCAGTTGCAGACGAGAAATTTCTCACATGAAATTCTTTTCAAACAAGAATTTTTCTCAAAAGTTTTCACACTAAACCAATTTTTAAACAAATAATTTTCTCGAATTATATCAATTCAAAGACAGGAGCTTTTTCTAACTAACCCAATTTTTCAATATAGAAATTTTCTCAAAGAATATCAATTAACAGACGTGGAATTTTCTCAAACTACAGCAATTTGCAAATGAGGAATTTTTTTTCAATAAACCCATTTTCAAACGAGAAACTTTCTCAAATAGCATCAATCAACAGACAAGAATTTTTATAAATTCTATTAATTTGCAGACGATGTCTCACAACAAACCCATTTTCATTCATTTTCAAACAAGAAAATCAAATCAAACATGTCAAATCACGCTTTTTTACGATAATATCTTATAATGTCTGAAACTACACTGGCGCATTGAAAACTGGATTTACTGTATGCCGTTATGTTTTTAAAAGGAACGTATTTCGACTTGCTAAAAATTTTTCTGTATCCATTGCACCATTCCGTTTTAGGGCGTAGTGGAATTCTTGAGTAACCCCCCCCCCCCCCCCCTCCTTACAATAACAGAGTGTGCTGAAACTTTCTTGTTTTGCATTGAAAGTTTTAAAATTTTTGAAAATCGCTTCCATCTTCCATGTATTACTGACCTGATGTATTTCAACTTGTCTCCTTACACAAAATTATACTAAAATTCAAGGTAAAAAAGCGCGTTAGGGTTAGGGCCTGAAGTTCACTAAAAGCTAAGGTATGCAAATTTTATGCTTGGCATACTTACAGGGAACGTTTACGTAGTGATCCATTTTTAACGTGTTGCAACCAATGTCTGATGGGATTGTTTTCTTTTTTGATTGACATGAACCTATAGCGAGTTTTATGTTATATGACTTTAAGCATTGTGCAATTAACCCCAGAAGTGAACGGCAAATCATTAAGTCAAGGATTCTTGTAGTTTTGTTCAAGTCTCCTTGCTTGACCTCGGTGACAGAGTTATTTTGCACCTGTCCTCCGGTTTTGTTTTCCTTTTCCTTTCAAACAGGCAGATTTATTCTACATTTGTGAAAAATCTTCAAAATTCATTAATCATTAATAACTGTAAGATTGCTAACGCTTGATAAAAATGCTTTTTATGTTTAAATCTAATGCAGTAAATTTCAATCAGGAACAGGCATTCAAAATATTAATTAGGAACTGTGACATACCTGTCGTTGATCTAGTTGTTGCGCCTACGCAGCACCTTCTTATTCACGGCTCATCACACTTAATGATTTTTACGCCCCACCTTACAAATACACTACATTTTTATATCTATACTCTTTTTTTCATAGGAACACGAGCCTCAAAATTGGTCAAAAGTTAAGAACAAATTAAGAACAAGCCGAAGCTGAGCTCCTGTAAAATGTAATTTTGAAGAACGTTTTATCTCAAAGACGATGGTTTTTAGCTATGAGTGGTCGCACTGCGTACACCCTATTAAATTAAGAACAAATTAAGAACAATCCAGCCTTAGGTTCTCGTAAAAACCAAGAACAGTCAGCCTGAACTTAAATTTACTGGTTCTTATAAAAAAAAGCGCATTCTATATTGATTTAGACAGGGGTTCGATTGTGTTCCAAATCTCCCTGATAGCAGACAAACCACTGTAATTTTTAGGTTTAAATTTGGATGCTGAATAAATTCATGACATTTTTAATCTTTGTTAAGAGTTAAGGAATGGAAAACATGAATGATATCATTTCGTTTTGTTAGAGGCTGATAGCTACACCCCCTGAAAACAGTCAGTTGGATAATGGCTTTTAGATTCATTTTTATGGCTGGATTGACTAAATGTCTCGGGATTGATATTTAACAGAATTAAGAATGACAGCATAGAATATTCTGTCACCAAAATCCCTTGAGTTAATTGTGTTGGTCAAAAGGGTACTGACTTGTGAGCCATGTTAAGATAGGATCTGAAGATGACATTGTGCTTTGATTCTTTGGATTTACATCAAGTACCAGAAAGTCTGGTGCCAACAATTTCAGTGGATTAATTCTCATTGAAAAACGTTTCGTTGAATTTTTATGAAATTATGGAGCAAAACGAAAGTTTTGGCGAATAACAGAATGTAACAATTTGTATTAGAAGTTTCAATCATCATCAAAATCTTGAGTGCTATAATAAAGTTCCTGAAAATCTAGAATACGGAACTGTGCCCAATGAATAGTATTTTGAAAGTAGCGATAGTCCAAAAAATAAAAAGAGCCTTATTTAGAAGAGGTCTTAAAAAGGGTATATCTTTTCAGACTCAATTTCTCCTGACCAGTGAACTCTGATCTGCATTATCAGTGAATATTATGGTTGATCAATATAAAGTTTTTTGCACATATCGAGCGAAATAAGCAAGTTTTCGCTGAGCAGGGCTTAATAAGCTTCGATCAACGAGAACTCATTGGTTTTTATAAATCCAATTTCAATGTCAAAGACAAATATAAAGAGCTGATGCATTTCTATGCTATGCACTTCAATTCCAAACTGTACTTAAACGTGTGACAAACTTTGAATCAAAATTCAATTTACGAAAACACTAAATGAAAACAGAGACACGGGATTTCCAGATTAAAAATTATTTTAGAAAGGTCTTGTTCTGATATATTTGTAAATGACGAAATTTAAATTGAGCTACAATTTTTAAGTTTGTAGTCCCCCAAGGTTGCGTACTTGAGCCTGTGATATTTTATACCATAGAGCGTTACCATCTAAATTCTCGCTGTGTTTTGGCTCTTTGACCCAAATCAATTCCTTGCAGAATTAGCGTCCTTCAGTCCAGTTACCACAACTTTTCGAGACAACTCACAACTGCTATAGTAGCAAAATTAATGATCCATATCTAATTGTTATTGTTACTAATTAAGCTCAAATTCAAAGGACTGGCTACGCTTTATAAGCAAACCTGCTGGCACAACAAACTATGTCTGAAGTAAAGCTTTGCTTAATAGTCAAATTAGCTCGAAAGATATGGAATTTGATTTTTCAGCCGATCGAAAATTGAAAAGACTTACTGTGACGCGAGGACAGAATATTCTGCGTCTGATTTCTCGTCATCAACCAAAGAGTAATATCAGGACACAGATCAGTAAAACTAAAGCTATTCAAGTAGATCCAATGCGAAGTATTCGTCTCTGCGGGTAGAATAATTTCAACAACGAGTGTGCTGAGAGCCCCTCAGACATTTGACCTGTTCTTAATTGACTGGTCTATGCTACACGATTTGGTAATCACATTCATGCTGTCAGCCTACTACAGCCTTTATCACTTTTAAAGTTTTGTCAAATTTTCCTAATTTCCCTAACGGAATATTTACTCCCATGTGTTTTGTGGGATGTTTTTTATCATTATAGAACGCAATTAATAACGTAATTGATTTTGGTTTGCATCATTTTAACAAGTTGGAAGAAAAAGCAAACAAGCACAGGGGCGCCTACACAGGGGGCTGGAGTAGCCTGCGCGCAGACTCAACTGGTTGTCCATTTATGTATGGATAATTTTGTCAACATTTTCTCTATGTTTAGATTTCACTTGCTTTTTGTATACGTAGGTATTTTGTATATTATGTAAATTATTAGGATATCCCCCTTGTGCACGCGAGAGATGATCCGAAGACTGAAACTTCAAAGAATGACGGTTTCTTGCGAGCGGCTATACTTTTCCTTTCCATTTCCATCTTATAACCTCCCAAAGCTAAACTTTAATCTAAACAGCTGACATAAACAACGACGGTTCTCCGCGAACTCTAATATTACCAATCCAATGAAATATATAACGAAGCCCAGCGCAGTCTTTATCAAGCACTGACTGTCCTAAATGCAAACTGGGCCGCAAGAGCTTTTCGCAAGCATCTTGGGCGAAACGGTTAGCTTCCTTCTGATGTTTAGCCTTTCATGTCTATACCTTCCGAATTTCTCTCCGAACCTCCTTGAATCTAACTAAGTACGTATCTTTATATGTACAAGGAAAATACCAGAAAAGCACAACTAAGCATAAAATGTTACCCAATGTAACTAATGACTACGCAAGATGATGTAATCCTAATGAGGGGTAATCCTACGGAAAGGAAAAGTAAAGCCGCTCGCAAGAAACCGTCACTCTTTAAAGTATTGGGCAGTAACCATTGGCGCTTGGGCAGTAACCATATAACTTTCCCAATAGGCCCGTCTCTAGATGTTGTGCTCAAGTATAAGATTTGGGTTTAAAACTATGAGTTTGCGCATGAAACGGTAAAATCGTACGAAACCCATATTCCTTGTCGTTCGTTATTCACCACGTTCCAGACTGTAAAGTGTTTTCTCTGCGCTGGAAACGCCAGAACAATAATTTCGAAATTTGCGGATAACGAACGTTTTCCGCGAAGTCGTGCGCAGAATTGAAGCAAAGGCTTTCGAAGACACCTTGTATTCTTTGTTTTTTCTTGTTATCAGAAGTAAGAAGTTTAAATGGTGGAATATTCGCGGGGAAAATGACCAGATAAACAAATACTGTGCGTATTGTTGTGTGGGCGGAATGAAGGACAAAACGTGATCCATGCGCAGACCAAACTTTTCAGCCTGGACCAGGTTCTCATGATATTAAACATGGCACGTTGGAATTTTTTCATAGCTTTTGCAACAAATATATTCCATTTTAATTCTTTGCTTCATTTTCGACGACCACTCGCTGTTAAAAGATTTCCGAAAAAAAGTTCTTGGAAATGAATTGAAAGTGAGGCATTTCTTGATCGAGGTTCTTAATTGGAGCCTGAAATAGGCGGTACGAATTTCAGCACGATGTTAAAATTGAAAATATGAAATTAATAAAATGAGTATTTGTGCGATTTGGATAATCACACTTGACCGAAAAGTTTCAAATGCAAAGAAACTAGTATTTACAAGGTACACAACTTGTTGCAAATAAAACTGGTGTTTTTGTCATTCGCTAGTCCTTTTTTGTTGTGATAGTCTTAAACTTGCCTAAAATTGGCATTTTATTTTGTTAAGATTCGTTATTTCTTGCCTGAATGTTTGTAAAGAATTACAGAGCAAAAATAATTTGCAGGCAGGATTATTTAGTTTTGTTTTTGAAATGTTCTCACTAAACACCAAGTTCCTATGCAACAAATTGCAAATGTTAAAAGAACAAGGTTGCCCAGGCGGCCAGCAGCAGGTGCTTCAAATCTTGGGTGTGTTCCTGGTGAATTTGCCAGTTGGGCTGAGTGGAGTTATTTGTCTGAAGATCTTTACTCTAGTCAATTTTTTGCACCTTCTGCAAGCTGAGGATCCATCATCTGCTGATTTTCCTTCTGTTTTACTCTATTAACTACAGTTTAAATTAATTTGTTAACTGTCCTGTTTTTCCAATTAGAAAATATCCGATTGTTTTGAAAAGGGCAAGAAGAGCTGGTCTTTTGCCAAGTTCGCCACTTCCTAGGGATGAAGAGATTGCAAATGGCATATTGGATGAACTTCAAGTGTACAGAACTAGTGATGAGGTAATAAGTTGTTCTACATCATTCTAGGAAGCAAACTGATTGGATTATAGTAACTAGACTGTTGAATTTAACCAGACAACATCAAAGCTAAAGAAAGGTCCTCATTTGGTATATTACCCCCCACCCCTGCACAGTTTGATTGATATTAAATTGTTTAACTTGTAATGTTTGGCATCCTACCATGATTCAAAATACTGTCTGTGTCTTTGTAAAGCTGAAATTTTGTAGTATCATTCTGCCTTGATTTTCTCAGTTTGTGAAGCGCTTCGACTCATGTCAGATTCAGAAGCAGGCCCCTATGTACAGTATTATAGGTGGCTCAATTTGGCCCATTGTTGCCATATCTAAGGTATGGAATTTTTATCTCATTGGTTTTTTATTAAATCTATTATTGGATGTAACTTATCACCTGATGGTTTCCTAAATAAAAAAACTGACAAAGGAAAGAAAAGTACGTTTCATCTTTTAGTAATTTTTGAACATGTCTCAGTCCTTGTGAATTATTCATTTGCAATAGCTTCAGAAAATAATGCTTGCAAATATAGCCCAAAACACTTCTCTAGATTAAAAGTAATTTTTGCTTTCTGTTTGCAAATTTGAAATATTGGACTTTGCAGAATTCTGTTTCTAGTTTATGTTTAACTTTAGCGTGATTTGAACCAAAACCTAACTATCAGAATTTGTGGTTTGTTTGAATCCATTAAGGATTCTGAAGATCTTCAGAATATATCTATATATCCAGATCTAAACAATAACTATAACCTGCTGAAATCTAAAGGTTTTAAAAACAAATGTTTACTTTTAGCATAAATGCTTCTTCAAATCAAATCTTTATTCATAAATGCTAAAGGTTTAGTTATCATTTAATCAATTGCAACATACCATGGGTAAAGTATGCTTTAGAAAGATTTTTGCCCTTTTTGCTTTTTGCAGAAATTAATTCACTTTTAGCATGGCTTGGTGTTTGCTTGCCTTCCATTTGTAAACATTCCAAATGCACAGAAAAGACAGCTGAGTTGCATAGAAATGTATGATTCTATTAGTTTTTTATAATGTAATAGTTATAATGTATGCAAATTATGAATAAAGAGTGAGCAGCAACTCTCTTTATTTGATAAACACTGTTTAATATTTGTTTCGTGTCTTTTCAAGGACTACAATTTTACTAATTATCTTCTGTTTGGTATATCATAAGAGTGGCTCTTGGCCATTTAGTCAAAAAAAATATGTCATAAAACTTTATTATTGGTTGGAAATCTTGTGTTTGAAATTTCCAATGTCTTGACTTCACATCATTTCTGACTAGTAACTGATTCCACATCATTTCTTCTTAGGGGTTATAGGCAATTATCATCATGTCATGCATTTCTCACTCTTGTCATTTTTGATTGAATTAACTTATTTCTGATTAAGCTTTATGTTTTTAACTTTTTGAATCCTTTCTTGAAAATAAATCTATACAAATTGATCTTAGTAAGTTATGCTTCTTGAATATAAATTTTGTTTTAGGGGCCCTGTAGCCATTGGATATTCACTGCTTCAAAACATTTCAGATGTTGTTGGTCAAAAACAACCACCATCTGGGGTAAAAAATGATTTTTTCTTAGATTTTAATCATCTAAAAAAGCTGACTAATGCTGTATTGCTGACAATATGCAGACATTGTCTAGGTTCAGTTTCAATAATTGAGTTTGGGATTCAGCATCACAATGGAAACAATGAAGTAAAATATGTTAATTTAGTGTGTAACTGAATTCTTCTTGGAGAACTAGTTGAGGAGAGTTCCCCCATTTTTGTCAGGGTATTTAATATTCTAATAATGGTAAATTTATGAAATTTTTAATTTTTCCTGGAAAGAACTTTGATATAGAAAATGTGGATAAGCTGTTGTCTCATTATGGTACTGTTCATGCCAAGCCTGTTGCAGTTTTTATTAACTAAAGAAGCCTTTTGTTCCATGAAAATTGAAGATAGAATGGGAAAGCAGAAACATGACATACATTAGTACTTTATTCCAACACTCAGGTTGGTCCAAGACAAGGAAACAATCAAATGCGCCTCTTACTTTTAATCCACAATTGGATATAAATTTCAGCTTACCTTAAGTCATTTTCCAATGTTTATACTCTGATCTGATGGAAAATACTTTGTATTGCTGCTCTGTTTCTGCTTTACAGCGCTTTTTTCCATCATCAATTATATTATCACCACTACATAATGTTATGATGGATTTAGCCCAGTAAAAATGATATTGTCAGTTTGGTGTGAGTTTCTAACATCTTTGGCACAGATAACTGATGATAAAATTCAAGAACTGAGAGATTATTTGTTCATATGTATGCCATTTGGGACACCTACAGAAATGGACCCATCGACTGTTCGTGGTATCATAGCCTCAAAGGATTCATATCTCTTGCCAAAAACAAAGGTAATTTTGTCATTGTACCTCTATATATTCATTTTAATAAATGATTAATAGAAAACAATGGAAAAGGACAAGGAGCTGTCTAGTGTAAATGAATCTGATTTGAAAAATCAATGATTGAAAACAAACTAAGTACAAGTTTTTCAGGGTCAGTAAATTAACAAAGGATTTTTTCATTCGAATGACTTTTCAGATATTGTTGTTTTGCAGTCATATAATGTTTTGAGCCTACAACAAAGTTCTTACATCCTACGATCATTTATTTTGTAGTTTAATGAAAATATTTTTACTACTTAAAGTGTACAGCTAAAAAAAAATTCTAAATATGTTTTGTAAACCTGAAAAGACATTTAACTATTATTTATACATTCGGTCAAACTCTCTGACATTATACTAGAGCTAGATTTTTACAAAGTTGATTCTTATTTGAAATAGGAAGTGGAACAGAGCATTACTTTATCAGTTAGAATGCTGACTAGTAGATTTATAGCCTTTGGCTTAAATAAATTTGAGTAAACAGTAGTGTGGTGAACTGTTAAAGTTGATGTTTTATTGCAGAGCATGATGATATGTTATTAACAGCTATGCTTGAAAAGTAGAGCTGGAACAAAGAACTACCCGTAAATCCTCGAATTAGCCCCCTGGGGGCTTATTTATTTTTGAGATTTTTTGATGGGGGATTATACGAGGGGGGGGGGGCTTATTATTATTTAGTCTTCATTCAAAATTCTTGTAAGATGATTATGTGATATTACATTTTAGGCTCCAGCCTGGAGACCAGTATTTCATAAAGGAAAACAGCAGATCAGCATTTCAATTCAAGAAAAAGTTAGATGTATCCAGGTTAGCAATCTACAATCTACATTGGTCTTACACTTCTCCAAAAAGACCTGGACCTTACCCATGTTGCAGCAGAGTGAGACATTTCAATTGAAAGTGTCATTCTAATATCAATGTTTAATTTTTCAGCCCAACAAATTTTGTTTATCCACCAAATCTAAAAAATTTCAGTACTGGTCATTTTGTCTTAATAAAAGATTTTCTCTTCTGTAAACATTGCAGGGTTTTGCAAAAAAATCATTTTTTCTTGGAAATGGTTTTTTGTATTTGCCTATAATATCAGTTATTTAACTTTTGTCAACTTGGTAATGATGAGTTGACTATGTGCACAATGTTTCCACAATTGGTCCTGTTTAAGTTCTAAACATTCATATGTCCATATTCTAGTATGACAATCCTGAACGGGCAGACTTATGCGAAATATATGGCACTGTTGTCTGCAAGGCAAGTTGTTTTTTTCTGTTTCTTGGAGGATTTTCAGCTATTATTTGTAGCTTAATTGAAGAATTGAAGATTTGATTTTCCAATCAAAAAGTAATGCCTTGATGTATAAGGAATTTGACATCTTTGACATTAAGATAGGCGCCAGGCTACACAAATTTTGAATCATCAATTAGAAATAAAAAAACATACTCATTATTATATAATATTAACTGATAGAAGAGAGATATTCTAAAAAGGACAAGACTGAAAGGGACAAGAAGGAAAGAAGGAAGGAAGGAAGG